TAGGCATCCTCAGATGACACTTCTCACAGAAAAGAACATTGATCTGCCCTGTTTTCTACAAGCCCACATCTGTGGGGATGTGGCACTTCTCTCCCTGGGAGTGAAGGGCTGTCTCTGTCCATCCTGAGTCAACTGCTTCCCTTGGGTCATTAGGCCAGAAGAAACCTCAAGAACTTAGGTCTCTTAAAGTATCTCCCTCATTTTAGTCATGATTTTTTTTTTGAAAGCTTCTCATGAGATATGAAGAAAACAAAATGTACCATAAGTTTATTTTAAACTGTGTTAGGAACTCTGACACATAAATTCATCCATGACCATTTGAGATTGGACACTTTTACCGAAATAGGAGGAAGCTGAGGTACGGAGCAACCACACGTTCAGAGCTCAAGGTCATAGGGCAGGTTTGTAGCAGCCGGTGTCCTGACCTCGGTCACCCAGTGCTCTTCCTGCTCTGCCTTCCTGCCTTCCATATTCTAAAGCTTCTAATTCCTAGGGAATTTTTTAAAAAACTAGAATGATGCCACTTTCTTAGTCTGTTCAGGCTGCTGTAACAAAATACCACAAACTGGGTGCTTATAAACAGCAGGAATTTGTTCCTCACAGTTCTGGAGGTGGCAAAGTCTAAGATCAAGCCACCCGCAGATTCAGTGACTGGTGAGGGCTGCTTCCTGGTTCACAGGTGGTACCTACTCACCATGTCCTCACATGGTGGAAGGGACAGGGTAGGGTCTCTCCAGCCTCCTTATAAGAGCACTAATCCCATTCACAAGGACAGGACACAGTCACCTCCCAAAGGCCCCACCTTCTAATACCATCACCGTAGGGATTAGGTTTCAACATACAAATCTGGGGGGTGGGAGAGGGTAGAACATTCAGACCATGGCAACACCTCAAGTAGCAAAAAGCCCAATCCAGCTGTATTTCTGCAAAGCTTCCCTGGTCCTAACCCAGGGGCTTCCCTTAGCTCTAGTCCAGACCCACTGTCGTGTAACTGGGGTCTGATTTGAGCAGCAGCACAATCACTGCTGAAGGTTAATGGCGGGGAGTAAGTTGGCACAATCCCGTTATTAGAAAGTTAACAGCTTAGTGACTACCAGGACAGCAGCACTGATCAAATATTTATGGTTGGTATTTATTATGCACTACACTTAACCGCTCTGTGTTGATTTGATGCTCCACACTGCTGAATAATGTATAAGAACTAGAGGCAGAGCAAGAAGCAGGGACCATACAAGAGTGGTGGCACTCACAACATGGCCAGGGGCAGCACAGATCTGAGGCAGAGCCCTGGCCCTGCCATTTGCACCAGCCACGTTTCCTGAACTGTAAACTCATTAAGGTCAGGAGCCATTAGCCACCTCTGCTCTTCTTGGCAAAAGCCCACAACACTCAGCATGGCAGGCTGGGCACATTTAGAACTTCACACAGTGTCCGACAGCTGACCATCAGCATCAGCACTGCCGCAGGTCTCAGGAGGTATCACTGCCATCCCCAGATAGAAGTGACAGGAGCTCTTTCCGCTGAGGTTTCCCAAGCAGAAGTGAATCCATGTGAGGACTGGATCCACAGGCCTCCCCGTCACATGCAGACCTGGCTAAGGCACTGCCTGTGAATGTTGGTGCTACTTCTGCTGGTGGCCTCACTGAGATGGCAGCCCCAGGGTTACACCTTTGTTGAAGACATCAGGAAGAAAAACAGAAGACTCAGATTGTCCTGGGATTTGCTGGAGTCGCGGGTTATTGACATCTTCCAGAAAGGTGCAGAGCTCCACTGGGCAGAGTCGGTGGGCTCCAGCTTTTAATTCTTAAAAGGCAGACAGCCTAGTCACCATCAGATGACAGGGACTTCTATAAACTTATTACCCGCTCAAAGGATTTCTGAAGCACAGAATCCTAAACCCAGTCACTCCCAGCCTCACTCAGAGGATTAACCCCAAACATGAAGAATTACGATTTAGCCTCTGCTTTGTCTTCTGGCTCACACCAGTGTATAGACTCCTTAGAAAAAATCGGGCTAGGAAGACGAAACACAGATTTAATTTTATGTTCTATGCCTGTAAATAATTTCCATAAATGCATCATTAAGAGATCCAGCTTGGCAACGCCCATAGCTCATTGGGTAGAGTGCTGGCCACATACACCGAGGCTGGTGGGTTCAAACCCGGCCCAGGCCAGCTAAAACAACAACAGTGACAATTGCAAGAAAAAAAAATAGCCAGGCATTGTGGCGGGCACCTATAGTCCCAGCTACTTGGGAGGCAGAAAGGCAAAAGCCAGAGAATCACTTAAGCCCAGGAGTTTGAAATTGCTGTGAGCTATGACTCCACAGCACTCTACCCAGCATGAAAGCTTGAGACTCTGTCTCAAAAAAAAAAAAAAGAAAGAAAGGGCTCCAGCTATGTTTGGGAAATTATTGAATGATACAGTCTTTGATGTTACCATTTATAAACTCCCACCATTTTAATAGACCACATTTCTTAAACACCAGTGGTTGGCGGGAGTAAGTTAAAGTCTGGATTTGGTCTATTCAGCCCAAGTCAATAACAAGATGAAATTGTTGAGTGCTTTTTTTGCCTGGTAGATTGTCCAGGCTGGATGTTGAATAGATTAACTGCAGATTGACTCTCTGCAAACGGTTGAGTTTTCATACTTCATGAGATGTCAGTAAATACTTACACTTCAGAAGTGTCAGTTCCCCTGGGTAACTAGTGACCTGGGAACTCCAGCTGTTCCTGGGGCAGGTGGCCCATTGGGCCTGTGCATTGGGTTTTCCACTTGCTCCCCCAGTGGACAGAAAAGGCACTGCACAGCCTTCTCTCCCACCGGGACGGGGATACCATCTCCTAAGCAAGAGCAGTGCACGCAGGTTCAGGGAACTGCTGGAGAGCGCGTGCAAATAGCCAAGGGGAGGCGAGATCTGCCCCAGCAGCGTCTCCTCTCGGTGCTGCTTCTCGGCGTGATGTGGGGAGGAGGCAGTGCAGTGCCAACAAGGCCTTACTTTTCTTTCTCTCTCCTTAGCTTGCCATGAAGCACAAATGTTAAGAAACTGCCTATCCTGGTGACCCCCTGAAGAGAGATGGAAGAGTTTGTTCAGCAGTTTTTACAAGAATTCCGGACCTCCGCTTGCTTCCTTTTGTTTTTTTCAAGAATTGGAACCGGCCAATTTTTTTGGTTTTTCAAATGTTAATATGAAAGAGAAGGTGTTGTGTTTTTACATTTCCCTACTGATCCTGCTAAGAAGTGCTACAGTAGCATCAGCTTCCTTTGGGTTTGGTTTTTTACCCCCGTGCGTGTGCGTGCGCCTACGTGTCTTTGAATGTATTTCCCTGTTCACACAGTTTTCTTAATAGTTTGAATGTGAAATCTGGACCAAATGATAAACTGAGCTGGGTCGAAGTTGGCAACATGTAGCTTTTTCCCCTGATACTAAGCAGGAAGACATTTTAATGTGGTGACCTCAGATGTTATTGTTCCTGGATGAAAAATAAAAGTGAAGCAGTGATCAGGTTCACTCACTCTCCAAGCTCCTAAGATGAAGGTTAAGATTCTACATTATGGAAAACAATTGGATTTATCAGGAGAAATAGCAACCGTAGATTTTGCCCTTTACGCAGTAATCTTTTGCATAAACCATCACCAGCATTCAAAAAAACAAATCGGAATCACAGAGAGGAATCTGCTTTCTGAGCTGCGGTTTCAGTACTCCTGCTGTTGCTTTCAGGCTGATCATCTGGAATTATCATATGAAGGATAAAAAATTTGAGAGTACAGACCTAAGGAAAAACCCATTTAAAACCCTCTCGTGTATTCACAGATCTTGTCTCCTTTGTCCTTGTCCCAATTATGATCGCTGCTATTGAAAGGTTGTATTTTTATCAAAAATTGATTTGTCCAGGTAAAGGTCCGTGTCAATGTGAAAACACACCACATTTACGATCTTGTGTCTTACAAAGTCGTGCCTATTTTAGAGACAACCTCACAATGTCCTTGGGAAAAGGCCTTTGAGTTTTTGGAGGTTGTGATGTTGTTATTGCTGTTTGTTTATTTAACGTGATTGAACACTTGAGTTTCTTGACAAATTGCATTTCATGGCCATTGCCACTTGCCAGGTATGATGTGAACACCACAGTCCTGACGCCTTTCCATTACAGGCAGATTAAATCAAGTTGGTCACACACCTTCTGATCTTCAGTTACTCAGGATAATACTGGGTTCAGAGTCTAGAACAGCAGTTCTCAACCTGTGAGTCGCAACCCCTTTGGGGGCGGAACAACCCTTTCTCCTTTCACAGGGGTCGCCTAAGACCTTTGGAAAACACATTATTTCCGATGGTCTTAGGAACTGAGCCACCACTCCTCATGTGTGGGGGTCACCACAACGTGAGGAACTATATTAAAGGGTCACAGCATTAGGAAGGTTGAGAACCACTGGTCTAGAAATTTTATTTCCTAGAACGTTAATAATTCTAAGCCTAAAAAAGCTATCCTTTATCTTAATGAAGAGGGAAGTGGGCTTCACATCCCTGGCAGGTTGTCAGCCTCCCCCCACAGTGCATTGATTCTTAAGCTTCCTGAATCTCCAGGACCCCCTTCTGTTCCTTCCTACCCACTGAGCCAATTCAGTCTCTGTGTACTATAGCCTCTTACATGGCAGCATAAGATGACTTTGGGATTATTAATGTTCATTTAATTAAATAGCTTAAATTCTCCTGATAAAGCATTCCCAAGAAGACAGAAAGTCTATTGAGGGGAAAAATATTGTAGGCAATGCATGTCAAAAGGGAGAGGGGATTTGCTGCAAATTGGTGAATCCTCTTAGAAGGATGATCCTATTCAAGAAAATTCTATAAAATTTACATGGCAAACTATAGAAGTTTAATATTTTGTCCTTTCGGTGTCTTAAAAGTGTAAAGAAGGAAAAAACATGCCATTTGCTCAGTACCATCAGAAGATTTTATGTAATTTTTAAATCCAAACAGATTTTGTTTGCAGACCTCAGTTCAGAAAACATAAACACACACACACACGTATTCATCTTCCCAAATTGGACTCTGGTTTCAGAGAAAGATAGTTGGTATAAATAATGGAAAGGGTAAATCTAAAACCCCTTGACAATCGGCCAAACTCAAGAATAAAATTGGTTGCCAACTATCTTTGAGAAGTGGCTTCTGAAGTAGCAGAAGATGAGGTCACAGCATGCTGTGAAATCTGAGATCTTTCCTCCCTGGTAGAATTGTGACAGTTATTCTTCATATATAAAAATATTCCACCCCCTGCCCTCACTCTCTGTTTATGCTTTTAGACTTAACCCTTGCTGGGAAATAGCCTGGGTCAGAAGAATGGCTCATGCCCTTGACCTCCCTTGGGTCCAAATCCTGCCCAGGCCTCCACCAGCAAAGAGGTCGTCGCAGCACCCCCCCTGCCCCCGCCTCATAGCCACTTGCAGAGAGATAACACATATGATGTTCTTTGCTATACTTTGGTTGAAGGTGCTGCATTCCCAATATTATTACAATCTAACTTAGATAAAACTGCTCAAATAACTCACATCATTTAGAACCAATTTGGTTGGGCTTGCTAGAAGACCTTTAATTTCGGTTCATTTCTGCACTTCACTATGACCTTGGGGGATACTGTGTGTGTCTGTGAAAGACTTCTCAAATTGCTTTGACAACACAAAGAAAAGAAACTTTCCAGTGTTACCACTTCTTCCTGGAACGTAGCTGTAGTCTTCCTCACTAGTGTTATTAGATATCTGTGTACAGGAAGTATGCAGTTATTCAGGTTAATGTTTCATATTAAAGAATGTATTTGTAACATGTAACAAGACCAGTAGTTAACTTTTTTTAAGCTCTTAAAAAGTTAAGATTATGTGTTAGACTTAAAATTACAGTAAAATCTGTTTTAATACTACTTTTGTGGCTAGCAAAGTTTGTGTATTTATGTAAAACTATTTACAGGATGCCCTATATAAAGGATATTAAAGATAGGTTTTGCTCTTCATTTTCAGAATCGTAACCTTGCTGATGTCTGTTACAGTTATTCAGAAGTTCTCTAAGATGTCCAATACAATTTCTGTTCTATTTAGAGACAAATAACACCTGCTCTGTGGATTCACTATTACAGCAAACCCTAATTTTGTCATTAAATATTTTAACTCTGTGATGAAAGTTTGTTTCTTTCAGTTATTTGTGCAACTGTAAAATACTACAGAGTAGATACACATCGCCACATTTTAGATACTAATGGGAAAATCTGGTGTGCCTCAAGGGAGACCACAGAACTAGGATTAGCATGATAGTAAGTTTCACTGTAAACTTGCAATATAAAAAAGACTAAGGTGCTAACCTTAATCTAGATAATGGGTGTCTATCCAGCAAAAGTTTTAAGTATTTTTTTTTGCCTTCTCATGGGTGAAGCAATTAAGCCAATTAATAGTCACCTGTCTGTGACTATTAATGTCAGTGATGTGCTCAGCTTAAGTATTTATTATGGCCTGTACCCTCATTCAGCAGACTAGGTTCATGCCCTGCTAAACTGAAGAGAAGACTGGCTCATATTATGTCAATTTATTTTTACAGAAAAGCAAATGCAACTTATTTTCTCCTTGCTCCATTTGTTTGTGAGGGAAGTGACTTCGGTGACTACTGTAGCAGAACAGCCATCTCTGGGTTGGCATGGACACTCGGTAAAGCAGACAGGACTTGGAAATATGTCCTGGGAGGATTACAGGTGGGAGAGGGACTGCAGTCTCCACTTTTCAGAGAAGAATGGATAGACACAGTTTGGCCAGAGGAGGCCTCAGCCTTAAGTTAATTATGCATTTAAAAGCACCTGCTTTTGTGAACTAAATTATAAGCAGAATGCCTTGCAAAGATAATGTTTTTTTCTTAATATAGTTTTTATTAGCAATTATAGTACAGCCAACGCTCATGTTTTATGGGAGCATTAATATGAAAAGTTTTTGTTTTTGTTTTGAGACAGAGCCTCAAGCTATCCCCCTGGGTAGAGTGCTGTGGCATCACAGCTCACAGCAACCTCCAACTCCTGGGCTCAAGTGAGTCTCTTGCCTCAGCCTCCCAAGTAGCTGGGACCACAGGCACCTGCCACAATGCCCAGCTATTTTTTGGTTGCAGCTATCGTTGTCTGGCAGGCCCAGGCTGGGTTTGAACCCGCCACCTTAGGTGTATGTGGCTGGCACCTTAGCCCCTTGAGCCACAGGCGCCTAGCCATGAAAAGTGTTTTTAAAGAAATAAATGGTGCCTTTCTCTCGCTCTGAATGAGAACATACTCAGGAAAAACTCTTGGCTTATCATAATCATTGGCCTAAAGGAGATTGGGACAGGTGTGGTGGGGGAGGGTAGACAGAAGAAAAGGAGTGATGGTAGGAAATACCAGAACTAAATTTTAAACCAAAACAAAATTCTGAATACCATTTCATATTGCTACCCATGCTGTGCGCTCCCCCCACCCGGGCATAGGATAGCCTGGGTGGTACCTAGATGTGTGTGCATGTTCACGGACACACACAGAGCTGGCATTGAGAAAAAAGCTGTGCTGTGCTCCTAGGTAACCCCCTGAAGTCACTGCATGAAGCCTCTTGCCCATCTGGACAAGGGTGAGCAGAAGACAGTTACTCCCTAGGGTCAGTGAAACTGGAAATGCCGGAGATGAGCTGTTATCAGAGCATGAAAAGAAGCAAGGACATAAGAGACTTAGAAAAAGAGCATGTCCACCTACAAGGAGTGTCTCACTTTACATCTCTATATGTAATACACTGACAGTCCCTTTCATGAGGTGGTACGAAGGATGGATTTTCTTCTGATTTGCTTTTTAAAAATCCAGAAATTGCCTTTTGGGAAGTTTCTTTGGTCCCTTCCATGACCTTCTCCTTGCTTCCCAGCCCATCTTAGATCCTGCTTTAGCTCACCCTAAGGTGTTCCCCACAACTAAAATGTGGGTTTATAGTATCTCAGTGCAGCCCTCCACTCTGGCTGCCCGTCACAACGAACCAGGGAGCTTTTAGAAATACACACATTTTGCTCCCGTTTGCCTTTTGATGTCCGAGGTCATCTTGTCTTTTGTAAAGAAAAAAAAAAGAAGAAGACTTCACCTGGCCCCGGATGGTAAGCCACCTGGCTTCCCCAGATGCTTCCTAGATTTAAAGCAGCAAATTAAAGCTGTCAAGGAAATTAAATGTAATGTGCATTTAAGCTCTAGTGCTGCTACAGTGTGACCTGTCCTGACCCCCATTATCTTCTCC